ATGGGAAAGATTTAGCTGGTGATAGTTTCCGCTGGACTCAGGAGTGAACATGGGAAAGATTTAGCTGGTGATAGTTTCCGCTGGACTCAGGAGTGGTCCCAGACGCCCAGGAGTGGTCCCTCTAGGGTTTATCCCAGGCTCTCTCTGATTTTTCCTCAGGCTGGCTAGATGTGGCACTGGCTTGCCGCGGCGCTGTAATGGAAGCCTTGTGAAAGTCACGTAACAGAGCTGCCTTCAAACAAGAATGGCCCTCCTTTCATAGACAAATAGCGCTCATCAAAACGTTACTCAGTCAAACTAGAAGTCTCAGAGGGGACTGACAGATCTCTTGCCCTCACTGTCAGAAAGGGTGGTATTGGTTTTCGCAGACCTGGGGCCAATATGCCCAACTGGTCTCAATCTCTCCAGCGGGGAACCTCTCCTTTCTAGCTTGGTTGTCACAGGAGAAAGAGCCGGAATAGTACTATAGGTCGAAGATAGACCATATAAGCTCTAGATTAAAGGTCAATACTGGGGGGCAAGTGGGGGCGTCTGTAGCCCCTACATCGCATAGATTAATAATACAAGAATAGGCCATCTGTTGTAGGACTTCGTAATTTATAAGCCCTTTCCCTCTGCTTTAGTCAGGGTTGGTTGGAAGGTAATGTGCACAGGCCACTGGGTATTCCTTTTAGTACAATAGCGGTAGTATTGTGATGTTTGCACTATAATAGCATAGGTAACTAGTTTATTTATTTATTAATTTATATTTTTTTAATTCAAGCTGCTCTTTCATTTCAAAATATCGAAGAGGCCGGGTCCTCACAATTCTACCCGGAAAAACTAGGGCCATTACCCAGCTTCGGCTCATGCTGGAAAGCGGGTCCAGCTTCCCTTCAACGCCGAGACTCACGCAAACCCTACTAGTGATCTTCTCATCAAGTAAGCAGTCAGCTACTGTACTATAGACTCCACACATTGTTTCAGACCAGCTGATCCAATCTGCACTAGACAATCCCTTATGCATTGATTCTGCTTACTACAAGGAGGTTGCTAGTGCTGCCAAACTTCTATGGTTTCCCCCAAAGAGCCCAATGTGTGAATGATACCCTTTCCTCCCATCCGAACTGTACTCAACCAGCTGCTGCTCCTTGTCCAGTGTACACCCACACACGGTTCCAGCATGCTCTTCGATACTGTTAAACCTTTCGGGGTTGTATACATGCCACGTGAAGCTAACTCCCTTCGGCACTTGGCCACACAGCGCGCCGCGCTCTTCTTATCCGTGAGCAATAATGCCAAGACGCATACATCTGACTGGTTCTTAAGTCACTTTTTCTCCAATCAGCAGCAAGGATCTCTCTCTCTCTCTCTCTCTCTCTCTCTCTCTCTCTCTCTCTCTCTCTCTCTCTCTCTC